CTAATGTTTGGGGCCAATCCAAAGGGACCGTTAACTCTTTTTAAAGAAAATATTTTAGGCCAGAAAGGCACACAACAAGACACATTTGACATAATTACAAAAATTAGAGAGAGGATAACGTATGGCATAGAAAATGCTAAAGAAAACACTGATAGGGAGTCTAAAAGACAAAGACACATAAAGAATACACATAGATACCTCAGAGATCTTAAAGTACATGATAAAGTTTTGGTATGGTTGCCAAACAATAATGGACAAAAGATTTGGCAGGGTCCGTTTACAATTCATGACAAGTTAAATTTAGTTGATTATGTAATTCACATGAAGGGTGAATTGAAAGTCCTACATGTGGACTTGCTCAGAAAATATGACTCTGTTCCTGAAGAGTTAGAAACCATCAGTAATGAAATAAGTAGCACAACCACCGTTGCTAGTGTTATACAATTAGAAGACAATGAAAATAACACCACAACAAACAGACACTTAACAACAATTCTAAAAGAATACAAAGATGTCATCACAGAGAACATAGGACACACTAGCAGTTTAGAACACAAGATAATATTAACACAGGAACCCACATTCAAACACAAAATCTATCCAATTCCATATGCATTTAGGGAAGAAGTAAAGAAAGAACTAAATCATTTAATACAGACTAACAAGATTAAAAGATCAGATTCACCAATAGCATCACCCATGGTAGTAGTAAAAAAGAAAAATGGCCAGTGCCGTATATGTTGTGACTATAGGGAGTTAAATAAAATCACACAATTAGATGCAGAACCCATGAGGGACACCAGAGAACTACTGGAAGAAATAGGCTCCTCCACATTATTCACCCACTTAGATTTAAACAGAGGATTCTGGCAAATAGGCATGCATCCGGATTCCATGCCTTTGACTGCATTTGCCACAGAGGAAGGCTTGTTCGAATGGACAGTAATGCCATTTGGTCTAGTTAATTCCACCGCAACATTTTCTCGATTCATGCGAATCATGCTAGAAGGCATACCAAATGTCGTACATTTTGTCGATGATATCTGTATTCACACTAAGGATATGAAGACACATATAGAGACTATAAAAACAGTACTAAACAAATTAAGAGCACATGGAGTTACAATAGCACCAAACAAATTAAAGTTTGCACAAGAGGACATTGAATTTTTAGGATTTAAAGTCGGTAAGAACACAATTCAGCCCACAGAACACAACAGAGGAAAAATACTAAATATAAAAACACCACACACTCAGAAAGAAGTAAAAGCCATTTTAGGTTTGTGCAATTTTTACAGCACTTTTGTTCCAAAATTTTCTGATGTTACACTACCCTTAAGGAAACTAATAAATAAAGATAGCAAGAAACAAATAGTATGGACGGATGAATGCGAAAATACACTGAGAACAATCAAAGAAATTTTCCAAAGTGACAACATATTGTTATCACCCAATTTTAAACAGTCTTTCACTCTAGTTACAGACGCCTCCAACATTGGATTAGGAGCTTGCCTTATGCAAGAATACAATCATAAATTAAGACCAATTACCTATTTAAGTAGAGCACTAAGCAGAACTGAAATTAACTACTCAACTATTGAAAAAGAATGCTTAGCAATTGTGTGGGCACTTACCAAACTACAGAAATATCTATTAGGCAGAAAATTTACATTATTGACTGATCACAAGCCATTAATGGCACTAAATAGAAAGAAAATAGCGAATAGTAAAATAAACAGATGGTCGTTGATACTATTAGATTATCAGTATGAGATAAGGACAATAAAAGGAAAAGACAATACAGTAGCTGATTTCCTTTCCAGACACATTGAACATGCAGACAATGACAAAGACACTGACTTAAGACACATTAGTCAGACATTCTAAATGAATATACACACATACGTTCACTCAGTTTTTTGATAAGACACTTGTACATATCAATTTTTGTAAATGAATATCAGATTTTAACCAATTGTAAATTTTCTAATGCAAAATTTAAGATTGTTACATTCATTTTGCAGTGTTTATTATTCATTAAGATGTTAATGTCACTTCACATTATCATACATAAAGATTTTAAGAGGTTGTCATTGGTGATTTTTTAATTTTTTGCCAGGGTAAATTATTCACTATTATGTGTGATATTAACAGTAAAAGGCTCTGTATTTCATAATGATGAAATGTTAATGTTGTTACACTGATTTGATTGTTAGATGTGGCATTGAAATTTTCTAAGAGACATTATCATTATTTCAACATATAATGCCAAAAATTTTGTTGCACAAAATTTTTTCAGATGGGTGGGGCATGTAACGGACTATGTTTTCACATGAAAACAGAGAGGTAGCATGAGTGAACAGTGAATTGTGTTGACCATGTATTTTGAGATGCAAATGTGAACTCCACGTTTTTGGAGAGTAAAATTATGTTTTTGTCAGAGCGGTTGTTTTGCACGCTTTGCTGGTAATAAAGTATGAGTTGACTGAGATAGTAGAGAGCTGAGCGCAGAGCAGTAGAGTCAGTAGCGTGAGAGCTGTGTGATTAGACAGTTGACAGTTTAGTGTGAGGACGTGTCTTTCTTAATGATGGAATACTATAGATATATATGTGAAATTACATTCATGCAAGGATTATTTATTAATATTATCAATATAAAGTGTGTTCAATAAAGTACTGTAAGTTTAACCAGGATTCAGTATTCTTATTTGCGTGCCCGGATTATAAGTGGAAGAATGAAGAAGCCTTAGTCGGCATCCTGAAATATCAACATAACATAAGTAACCATACTACTGACATAACCCACAGCATAAGAAATAAGCTCCCACGCCATGTCAGAGTAGATGTGTTACATTATGTTTAAGAATGAACTTAAATGTTATTTAAGAATAATATTTTAATTTGAGGTTTAAAAAACCCGGTAGAGTCAATATTCATGTGCAATAACTATAGTTTTAATGATAGTTTTATCTTTTATTTAACGATTAATCATACATGCTAAGTAGTTCTAATTTTAACAATATTCTGCAATTATAAATAATTTTTTTAAATATTAAAAAAAAATTAATAAACTTACCTAGATATAATATGCATTATTACATTAAATACAATATGGATGTTTTGTCTACCAAGTCTAGCATCCATTATATATATATATAGTCTATATACTGCATTGTAAGGCAAAGGTCCCTTAAAAATTATACTGGTTTGGGACTACTTATTTTGAACTTTCAACTTTTGCACATAACTAATTCATTAAAGCTTTCTTTGACCAATGATTTAATAGTGTTTGCACACGGCACATTCATTCTCTTATGAATGAAACTATGAGAATAATGTTATATTACTATAGTATAGCACATGCAAGTGTCTGGGAATGGTTGCCCATGACAATATTTTTTGCACAGTGCAAATCAAGATCATTTATAATATGGACTCTACATGGTTTTTGAAAATCAAGAAGAGGATGCAGCTTCCAGATTTAAGCCATTCCTTGAGAAATGTGATGATAGGAAATGAGCGCAATAGTATGGGAAAACCTAAAAAAAGGATGCAACAAAAAAGTACTTTTTCAAGTAACAAACAACTATAAAAACAAAGTACAGGTAATATAAAAATAAACACTTAGCTGCAATGTAGTACCTGAGAGGGCAGAAGCAGAATGTAATAGAACGTAAGTAAGGGAGAGGCAAAATGGGATAGAAGAAGAGAAGAAAAGCGTATCCACTGCGATTGGTCGCAACTAGTGGGGGGGGGGAGAGAAAAGGTTTAACTAAGTGAAAGAGAACATGACATTTGTGCCATTAGGTCTAAAGGTCCCATAAGTCTGAATCATTTTGTTTTCCAACTGCAAACCTCTTTGTACAGGTGATAGCAAACTCCCTTTAGCCCTTGTGGTCTCTTCTGTTGAAGTGTTTTAAGATGGGGCACTGCTCTTTTTTTTTCCTGGCATCCATCCGTCACAAAGTGCAGGACAAAATCCAAAAAGCCTGGAATTATTCTTTTTAGGATTATAAGCTGGTTCCCTACACAATAAATCGCCTCTCTCCACGCCGCTGGACAACCCAAGGAAACATCATGGGGGGGGGGGGGCACTGCTTATCTTGCACAATATTATGAAGGTGTTCAGTATATCTGTCCGAGAGGCGACGTCCAGTCTCATCTAGATTCGTCATCTGGCAACAGGTAGTAAAACAATGGCATAGACAACATTGCGTCCAGTACAAAGGAAACTGTCCCTTATCTGAAAGGCTAAGTTTTGCAATGGCTGTGTCTACATGGCTTGGTCCCAAAGTGTGAGGGAGTAGCGCGAATGCGAATACTCACAAGGAGAGCTCGCAGATTTTTATCTTTTCTGAAAGCAATGAGTGGTGGTTCAGAGAAATGTAATGAAACAGTCTCTCCAACAAAATAAAGGTATTCCTGAAGCATGTGCAACCTCTTTTGTAAAGAAAACCACATACAAATCAATTGACCAAACAGAATAGATGTACATGTTGCCCTGCCAAGAATGACAGAACACAAAAAATGTGTGTAAAATGTGAAAAGTCATTATGGAATGAGCATACTCTCACTCTCAACATTCGCTAACAATGTGAAATAACAAAATAAATTATGTGTCAACTAAAACATAACATGTCAATTTTATGCATGTCAGCATGATGCATATGTAGTAGTCTTACGTCTAATAAATAACATAATAGACAAATCCACCAATGTTATTTATACTTTTATGTTTTTTTTTCATACATTCTCCATATTAATATATATGGGTGGTTTCCACTCATAGGGCACTCTCACTGGGTACGGTGAAGGTTAAAAAATAATGGCTTATGGCAAAAGTTAATAGGATTTAAATAATTTAAGTCAAGCAGTTGAAAAATCAAGTTACGTTACAATCTTCATGACACAAACTCATTAGAAAATATGTTTTGATTTATTAACTTAATTTCATTTAACATTTAATGAAGAATTTCAATTTTATCTTTTTATTTATTTGCAGCCATGCATTAATACGCAGTCGAATATTACGTGAAAATGGAAAGTATATTCCTAAGCAGTCATTTTTAGTGAGGAAAAGTTATTTCAATAATGAAGAACGAGGATTTTTCAAAGTGGAAAAGAGGGAATCACAGGCTAAAAATCCAATGACAGGTAATATTAATAATTACTTAAGTATTTCATCATGATTAATGTTAAAAGAAAATTTGATGCAATTTTTGTCAAACTATTTGATCATGTGTCATAATCATGTATTTACTCTATTGGTTTTATTTTCAGATCCATCTATGATGACTGATATGGTAAAAGGGAATATAACCAATGTATTACCTATGATAATCATTGGTGGTTGGATCAACTGGGCATTCTCAGGATTCTTAACAAGTATGTTAGTATTTAAGTGGGTTAAGTATTCTTATAAGGTAATGTTAGCTCTTATTCTAAGGGTATTAGATGTAAATTTAGAAGATAGTTAAATAAAATATAAGGCCAAGGCTCTAAGCTTGCTATCATACACACCCAACCCCATTCATGGTGAGAGTGTTTAGCTGATTAAAACCAATATAAAATGTATGGTGGCTGCCATCCTTGTAGTTTTTCTGTAAGTAATTGTTCAGTTGGTTAGCACTCTAGTTTTCCTCAGTGCAGAACGATTAACATAGTGTCGCTAAATTTATCATTGTATCATTTGCTTTTTTTCAAATTAGCCAAAGTGCCGTTTCCATTAACCTTCCGTTTCAAGCCAATGTTGCAGAGAGGAGTGGAGCTCATCACTTTAGATGCATCATGGTAAAAGTTTTAGTGTTCAATTAGGATTATAATCTATTTATAAATGGTCAATGGTAGCAAATAACTTTTGTCAAAAATCACTGTCATTATTAAAAGGCCCTCTTTGAAACCTTTGATAGTTCGGTTTTCATTTATTTGTTTGTAAATTAATTGAGGGAATAAATCATATTGATATGAAAACATTTTCCTTTAAGCGTAATTGTAATGCCTACCCTTTTTGATTTTACTGTTGCAGGGTCAGCTCAGCCTCCTGGTATTTCCTCAATGTGTTTGGTTTGCGAAGCATGTACACACTCATATTGGGTCAAGACAATGGTAAGATTAATGTTTAAAACTATTTACTATCAAAGACATTGGGTTTAGTTTATGTATTCGATAAAGTTTAATTAGTGAAAATGATATATTTTGGCTAGTTGGTAGTTGCTTAATTAATCAACAAACTGTCATAATGACAGATCATCAGCAGTTATGGCTGCTTCTGTGGTGTGATGGTCAATTTAATCAGCCAGTAAAATCAATACTGAAGAACTAATTTAGATGATAAAAAGAACCCAACAGTCTGTTTGGGCGTGAGCTGAAGAAAGATAGCACAACAATAGCATAATTGCACTCATTCTAGAAAGGTCAATGTCATGAGTCATATTCAACATAGCTCACAGAATTCCAACATAAATATGGCAAGATTTCTTATCCAATTCACTCTCGGAATATCTATATTTATATGGGTCCCTGGATTCATTTTCTATTAGTTTTGAGTATTTTAGAGATACATATCAATTACTAAAAAAATAGTTGACACCACAGCACGTTTGTATTTGAAAATGCATGGTTTCAAATAAAAATTTGAAAGTTGAAATTTTAGTGTTTTTTTAATACATTACTAAAAAAAAAAATTTTGAACAATTTGCCAATTATGTCTGGAGTTAAGTACATGATTTATGGGTTTTTAAAAATTGTTCTTTTAAATTCAAAAGATTTTTTTTTCTGCGAAAAGGCATGAAATAAGTTAACTTATCTTGGTGACAGAGTATAAATGTATTTATCTATGTGTATCCCTTTCTCCAATTAGCTGCTGATCAAACCAAAGCAATGCAAGACCAGATGTCAGGCTCTGCTATGATGGCACCTCCTGATCCAATGAAAGCTTTCAAAGCTGAGTGGGAGGCTCTGGAGGTAGCACAGCATGAATGGATGCTGGAGGGGGTGGAGGAGGAGCTCACTGGGGGAATTATCCAGCCAGAGACAATCTATTTGAGATCTAAGAATTGATGAATGTTATAACTTTTTTTTTCTCGCTGTCATAATCGGTGTTATTACAACTGTTTATGGACCCTTTATGGTGTTAAGTAATCCACATTTTTTTGTTTATTTCTTAAGGACATGGTATTTGTATGTATGTATTTAAAAGTAAGGGTGAGCCTAACAAGTATTTTGAAAAGGTCTTGTTGTCGTAATATTTCTAATGTGACAATATTGTGTTCAGCATGTGTGGATTGACTGCTCATGCCAGTCAGTAGATTATTTATTACCAGCAAAATAATGAGTGTGTGAGGTTATATAAGTCTTAATTACTTAGTTTTTTTCCCTCTCTAGAAGAACCCAACAGTCTGTTTGGGCGTGAGCTGAAGAAAGATAGCACAACAATAGCATAATTGCACTCATTCTAGAAAGGTCAATGTCGTGAGTCATATTCAACATAGCTCACAGAATTCCAACATAAATACGGCAAGATTTCTTATCCAATTCACTCTCAGGATATCTATATTTATATGGGTCCCTGGATTCATTCTCTATTAGTTTTGAGTATTTTAGTGATACATATCACAACTCCCATCATCGGGCCATTTGAACTTGTGCTGTTTACTGCTAAATGCAAAAAGTTTTCAAACTGTAGGTGACCTGTTAATTTACTGCTCCTAGAATATCTCCTTTTTAGAATGTTTGAAAGACAAAACAAGCTGTTGCTCACAACCATTTCAGTAATTCACATTCACTGGCATATACTTTGTGTGTATTTCTCAGCATTTATTTTATTTCTTCACCTTATTTGTATAAAATAGATCACTCATACTTTTTTAATGTTCAATTGCTCATGGTTCAGTGGATACGTGTCAATGTGAAATATTTTTAATTACTTGCAATATGTAAATGTAATGTTGGAAGAAAAACAAAATCGAATAAAAAAAATGTTAAAATCTATTTTGTCTTATATGAGAAACATTTTCTTAATCTTTTGAAAACAAATGTCATGTCACAACTTATGATCTCAGTTTAAGTATCTTATTTTATTTTCATGTTACAAAAAATGTATCACAATATCTCTATTGTACCGTTATATCCAATATGTTATTAACAATGAAAAGTTTTCTAAAAGGAGATCAAATGACTTGTAAGATTAAGTATTATTATAAAAAGAATAGCTCAATGACTGATATTAATATACAAATTATACCATAAATTAAATCAAGCACAGATGTACTCTCGTTTCAATAACACAAATTTGAGCAAAATTACAAATATATAAAATCACAATTTTATTACAAATTACAAGTAGCTTGAAACCCTTGTTCAAGCTTTTATAAAACAGTTTTTATCGCTATCTATTGAATTTGAAATGATAAACCATGCCCGTTTTATTATAATTACATACATGCCAACCTGCAGGATCAAAAACTACAACAGCATGAAAATCTGTACAGAAAAAAATGAGAGGTCGAAAGAAGTACAATTTATAAAAATATTACCTTTTCATTAAATTATCAATGATTTGAATGCATGCAAACTTAACCTTCCTGGTGATTATTTCTGGATTAGTTTGAATAGGCAAGGAAGTTTCTTTGTTAACTTTTCACGGTCAGATAGATGTGTTTGCAATGAAATTGGCAGATGGATCTGGCCCAGAGCTGTAGTGTGAGGATCCTGGTATACATCGTTTTGAAAGCTGATGACCATTTAATTTTATTAATTGTTATCCCAGAACAATAATTACAACTTAAATGACTGTTTTGCACTCAGCTATAAGAACCTTTTTGAAATTGTGGACTGATCGTTATTTAAATTAAAATGGAGTAATACTGCACAAAGCTTAGTTCTTATGACATGGTGTAGTCTCAATGGTAAAGTCCTATCAGCAGTTCCTATTTGTTAAAGTTAATACGTTAAGTGGATCTACAAAATGTATACAAGAAACACAGAAATGAGTATTAATTTGAATAACAGAAATCTCTTAACATGGAAATGGAGAACATTTCTTTGATAAGCTCTTCAACTTCAATTTGTTTTCAAAATTAAACTATTTGAAATGTTAAGATCCATTTTTAAAAAAAAGATTACTTGAAAAAATTTTTGATTAATATGTACTAAAGTGCTTTAATTGTTTCCCGAAATAATTATGAAACAAAGATTCATTAATAAATTTAGAAGAAGAAAAAAACATATACAGTATATATATACATTTTATAATTTAATTTATATGTAATAAAAAAATAGTGAGAGATAAATTTGATCAAATATTTTGTAAAGTTTGAATTACAAAATTTTAAAAAAGTTTGGCACAGTGAGAGCTACCTGAAAGTTACAGAGATCAACATGTTAAACAATTGAGAATACCTGCAATGTATTTTACATAGAAGAGTCCATTTATAAAATAAAATACAATAGATTATATAAAATAAATAAAAAGATAGCACAACCAAATACATTTTTTGATACAAGTTCTTAATTTCCATTTCATAGGGTGAACAACAATTTGTTTTTACTGCAGTGCAGATTTCAAAAACATAAAATAGTGAAACAGAAAAAATTATTTATTTAAAAAAAAAAAAATATTTATGGTACATGTGAAAGACAGCATTAAAGGCCCTTTATGCAACAAAATATAATATTTTGAAAATAAGTTGGCTTTTTAAAAGATATAATTAGATTTAATGTTGAGGTTTATTTTAAAAACTGAAAATTGATACAAATACTCTACCGGTACATAGAATGTCAAAATAAAAACAGCGTAGAGTAAATAAATAAACTTCTTAGAATTCAAATAAAAATTACATTAAAAATAAATTGTAAACAATTTGTTCAACAAGTCTGACAATATTCAATACTTTTATTGTTTTTTTAACTTGAGTGGCTTACAAAGTTCAGCCCTATTTTAATGAATGCACTCAAATGTATCCAATGCTAAGATACAATGCTACAAATGTAGAGATAAAATCTTTAAGAAACAGTTCCTGGGTCCATTGTTGCGTTGTTTCACTCTATCCACCTGCGCTCATTGGTCTTTGTGTTGTACTCATACAATTTACCTGTCACTGAAAACCAAAATAATTAAATATTAGATCTGAGCCAGGTGCTCACCCCGATACCGGAAATGCTGAGTATTACACAACATGAAAACACCAGGACCTGGCCAATGAAAAGGAGTCTGAGTATTAAATTAAAATTGTATAATTTTTTTGTACACTTTAACCTGTGCCATGATTTGAATTACATAATAAGAGAAGACTGACTAGCGAGTGGTGTGAAACTCAATGTAAGCTAAATGACACTGCAAAGTTCTGAAAATAATAATATACTTGTGAAATATGTGTGAATATTTGTCATAGAAAGATTAGTATCTTTGGTTTATGATCACGACATTTCCTGTTTTCAATTAATATTTCATTTTCACATGCTGACTGAGCACCTAAGTAGTTTTTTTTTTTTTTATATTCACAACATTGGTTGTTTGGCTCAAAAAAATGTACCCAGCCAATAGATATCCAAAAGTATAAATCTACCTTCGAATTCTTTTTTATTTCTTGAGAATTAAGAACTATAGTGCATGCAATAGGTTCAGAGAGTCGAAGTGACCAAATAAGTCTTACAGAAACATATCTCAGTGTCAGTGAGTAATAAATTTATAGTATTACCTGGATCCATTGCCCGCCCTTCAAATGCTCTGTTGTTAATACTGTATGGCGGGCTTGGCTCATCGTTAGTGGTGATCAAAAGGGATCTTGGGCTTTTTGGAGTATTCAGGGTATTAGATCTAGAGGATTGGCTGGTCAAAGGCTGAAATATGGTATTTTTTAATATATATATATATATGCATAAGAACACATATACATAAATATCAATAGTGTCTTACAAAATTAAGCCTTATCATTTTGTATTTGTTGGGGTGTAAATCTAATATAAACCAATTAATATATATTAATTGTCAAATATAAGAGCTTTTGTACTGTACACTGTGTTCAGCAGATTGTAAATTGGGTGCAGTTTAAAAAAATACTCCATTATGCTTCCGTGCAATCTATTTATGTTGATAAAGTAACTGAATTGCGTATTGCTCCCATAATTTATCTATACATCACAAATACCTAAGATGAACAAAAATTTTTAGGGTCCTGCTCAAAGACTCTGAATTAAGCCTGATTTGCTTTCAGATAATAAGTCTTGATAAATACCTAAATAAAAATAATGTTATAGTTATAGCAAGCAGAAGTTTGCCTTCAGCAGTTAAAATTGAATTAAACAGCTTATTTCTTCATTTAATTTTATTTTAAAGTAGTGTTTTATGATTTAAATAGGGTGTCGAGAATTTTACTTTTCATTCGCCACAACTATTTTGTAAAAAAGTTGCCCACCTTGGTCTAGAAAGGATTATTCAATAATGATACATTTCACAACATTCAGACGTAGAGTAAATAAACACTTAAGATAATGTTCTCATTTAATTAGCGAATCTATCTTATGCGAATCTATCTTATGCGAATCTATCTTATGCGAATCTATCTTATGCGAATCTATCTTATGCGAATCTATCTTATGCGAATCTATCTTATGCGAATCTATCTTATGCGAATCTATCTTATGCGAATCTATCTTATGCGAATCTATCTTATGCGAATCTATCTTATGCACCCCTGCACCAGAAAGACATTCATTTTTGTGCACCAATAAAAAGTTACATGAGACATTCATGACCAACCAAGATGCAGCGCCAAATCATGATTTTAAAAAAAATTTGTTTAGTTCATATAATGAAAAACATTTCCCATGGCCTGGAGCGCGTTTCTTCTACTCTTCACAATCTTAGGAATGCATCTATCAAAAAACATTTCACAAATCTTTCATAATTAATGACATTCACCACATATGACACACAACATCCAATAGCTACAATAAGGATGCATTGTTTCCAAAATGAAATATCTATTAATTCCTTACTGGTGATAAGGGATCTGTAATCAGCATGGGTGGGAATGCTTTCCTGTAAGGCTGCCCTCCAGTACTATCAGATACTAAAAGTACGCAAGTAAAGTTATTTACATTTTTAAAGGAAAATTGTTGCAGTATAGAGCTTTATTAAATTTTAAAAAAGAAGACATTGTTAGATGAAATAGTCAGAAGATATGCTTCATTCTCTTAACTATACTGGTCTCTTAGGTGTCTTCATTAAAATGGTTCAACTGTAATGAAGAAAGCAAAGTAGATACAAAAGAGATGGTATAACATGATTTTAGCTAAACACCTTCAGTAGAAGTTACTAGAATTTCACATTGCTTTTTCTAAATAATGGATCAAAATTATTTTATTATCTTTGTTTTTGTGGATACATTTTCTTCATTACCAGATCATAAACTAAGTTTTAATGAAATTGAACTTCATTTACTTTTCCAAGGCTCCCACCCAACCTCCACCATTTTTTTTGGTGGTGGTTGCTTAATGGGCTCGACATCAACAACACGGCTGCTTAGTATCCTTTTCTTCTTCTTCCTTCCAGAGCTGGTGGTAATTAATGACAAATGTTAGTAACCAGCATAAGTTCATGGAGGGGGAAAAAAATAATTAAACAGACTGGGGGAAAAAATAATTAAACAGACTTAATGAAATCATAAATGTTTTATATATAAAAATAAATTTATGCTTAAGGTATATTGTTAGAATGAATACTCCTTTGAACTACAAGTATAAGGCATTCAGAAAATTAAAACTGAAGGCCAGAGACCATTTTATAAATATTTAGAAAAATCATGTCCTTAAAACAAAATTCTGCATTTGTATTTATGCAGGACAGAGCAGTGTGCAATAGTGTATTATGTGCCCAGATATAAATGGAATCTGCATTAATGAGGACCATGATCTCCAAAATAATAAGTAAAATAAGTAGTGATTTAAGATTGCTACATTTTTCCATTCATGTGTGAGTCAATTATTTACTTGATGATGGGATTTAAATTTGAATCCTAAAAATTTTCAAGTGACAGATGAACAACATGTTAATATTACATTTTGATACACTTCTTTTTCATTTAAACCATAGTAAATAAAATTTTATGAAGTGAATAGAATTAGAGAAAGCAATTAACTTTTATTGCAGCAGAAAAACAAAATGTTTGATATTCTTCTTAAGGCACAGCTAAGTCAGATGTTTGCTATTGTATAAAACTCTGAAAAAACATACCCTCTCCCACAGCAACACCGCACAATCAAGTAGATCAACAAGCCCACAAGGATGAGACCAAGCAGGCAAGCTATTGCTGTAATAACCTTGCCATAGACTGTGTCAAACCATCCTTCAGATTCTTCATAATAAGGATTCACACTAACAATTTTGTAATAATCCCAGGCTGTGCCTATGATGAGAGAATAGATGAAATGATTGAAAGCATTAGCTCTAACCGCACAAATTTGGGGCCTTACTGAGCAGCAGTTTTCTTTTTGCATTATACACATGTCTTTTTTATTATAGTCCAGCCTCTTATGTGGACCATGCCCAAGTTAAATCTTATATACTAGTTGTTACAGAAAGTTTCTTTTGCTCTTTTATTCTATTTCTATAATTATTTCCGTTTTTGGTGTCCATTATTTTATCAAAACTAAATAATGAGAATACTGCATGATTGCATGTTTTAAATAATTGTAAAAGAGAGAGAGCACAGCATGACTTGAAATACTAATTAAATCATATTTAGGTCAGGTGATGAACAAATTACATTCCAATTAATGCTACCTTGTATGCTTGTTCCAGGGTCTCCCTCTGCATTAGCTGCCACCAAGGCAAGGAACTCATCCTGAGTCAGATATTCCTTCTCTGTATTAATATTTCCTAAGCTGTTGCTGCTGTCATCTTTCACTACATACAAGTTGACATCCACTGGTCTTTGATAATATAAGGGTTGTTGTACATGCTTACATTTACATTGGTAGTGATTGTTTTGTTATGTGTCTTTTAACAATTTAACCAAGCTACTCAAATTCATCATTAGATCATCTTTTTTTTTTACTCTTACAATTATATCCACACTTTTATGATAATAATTATTAATAAAAGAGTCCGTAAAATCATCTCAAGATAAGTTTTCTAAACTTGGGAATAGTTCAAATAGTGTGAGCACTGACAATGCCACAGAAAGAACAAAAACAGACACTATTCAATCTATGAAAAAGAAAATATAAAAGCAGACCAGAGAAATGCACAGATCAGTTTTTGGTACATAAGATTATATTATAAAAGTAAGTATAAAATAAGAATGGAGGTTCTATTTCACATTAGGATTTAATCATTATTCCATTTGAATTTTTTTGTAAAATGGCAGCTTATTTATTATCTGTCAACAATTAAACATTGCAACCAAAACATATAACTATTTATATGAATAAAAAAAAATTAAATCTTTAAAATTCTAAAATAAAATGTCAAAGAAATATTTTATTAACTTACTGTTCACCAAGAAGTCGTCGTTTTCCAACAGCAGGTAACTGTGCAACTCCATCATATTCCTGTATGCACCACAGTCGCACTAAGGCTGTGGAGTATTTATTTCTGACCACTGTTTGAAGGTTTGCCAAAAATGTGGCTGATTGACTGAGGAAGCTTGTTCTATAATTTGAAAGTGTCATATTCCATATTACAAAGCAGGCAACTTGCATATCTCTAATTTTATGCCAAGGAAATACCTTAACCATTAGAATCTATGCCAATTTAATTTGATCTATTATTAATTGAAATTTAAGAATCATGACTGTAATTGTATTTTAGCAATTCAACTGACTCGTTTACAGATTCAATTTATAGTCACACATAGGCATTTTATTTGCTCCTTTGATAAACCTGCTGTACTAACCAACATAAAATCATAGCTATTAAAACCAGTATGTCTACCTGCTTATCTTAAGCCTGAATGTCACCACTTGGTTGTTGGGGATATATGTATCCACTCTGACTTTTGCAGGGGTTGCTGATGTTCGTATGGTAGTACCTGCATCACTTGCTTGTATATCCAGTGCATACCTTGTGTAGGTGTCTGCAACACTGCTTAGGCTCACTTTGCCTGCCAAGGAGATATTTTATTTAATATATAAAAAAAACTTTACATTATAAAAAGTGGCGAAATTAAAATATTTTTCTTACGTAAGTTACATTTATTAACTTTTCTTAATATTCATTTATTTCTTATAAGTATGATAGAGAACATCCCAACATGCTTCTACAAGTTGCTATAAATAAATAAATAATATTATATATGTCAGTTTTGTTTTACTAATTATTTGAAAAAACTTAATGTATGCCTATTTTCAAATAACTTCATGTTTATTTATTTATTTTTCATATACTTTAAGTGTAACACTATAGCTAGATCAATAAATGTAAGTTTATAATCTATTCATATAGTTACTATTATGTCTATATAAAAAAAACTTGCCTGTACTAGAATCAACAGAAAAGAGATAATTATAAGCAGCTGCCTGTAGCGAGTATGAGACCAATCCATTATTGCCGCTGTCTGCATCTGTTGCCGTCACAGTTGTTATGACACTCTGGCACTGCCCACTGTAGGCAATCTCAGCGTTATAGAAAACTGGACTTTAGACACAAGTAAGAGTCTCCTTTTATAAGTTATATTTCAAATTAACAACAGGTAAAGAAATGTATGCTATATGGGGCCATCCATAGCCATAAATGACATCACACATCTGGTAGGGAGGGTTGAAACATTTTTGATTGTATGTTATAAGGGTGAAACTATGTGATGAATGGGGGAAGGTGGGGATGGTAAAAAATTATG